ATAATCAGATCATCTTGTTGGGTTTTGTTTTTTAATTATTGTGTATCATGTTTTACTTTGTTGGTTGCCTACATGTTTGGTTATTATCACCAACTGCCACAAAAGATGGGTGAAAATGTGTTTGCAGTGAAACTTTTGTGTTGTTCATGTTGTCAGTGTTATTTACTAAAACCCAGGAAGACTCAGGAGACTGAACGTAAGGAGTTCTAAAATTTATTGACAATATTTACAATAATTACAGGGAATTGAGTTGGGAGGAAATAGGTATGGATCTGTGGAAGCAGAATGGAGATGATAAGTGTTTTTTTTAAGGAAGTGAATTGAACAGACACAGAAATAGCTATTTGTTAGTTTTAACAAATATTGAGCTGCAAGATGATGTGGTTGCTGAGCATCATCCCCATCACAAATTCCCCGAGTGCTAAATGAGCTTGTGCTTTTTGTTTAAAACTTTGACATTGCCTGTTAGAGCCATTCCTCTGTCTGTTAGTAAAATATCCTAGGAACCACATGACAGATTTTAGTAAAACTCTAAAAATTAGCAATTAGTCATATAGGTATCCACCCAATTCCAGATGTTTGTCATGGTTAGTTGACCTTTACAAACACAACAAGAACACTGTAAGTTGAAGAAATATACGCCCCAAAGAAAAAATAAATACATAGTCTAAACCAGGGGTGTCCAATGCTGGTTCTTGATGGCCACTATCCTGCATGTTTTAAAGGTTTCTTTGTTTGAACACACCTGATTTGACTGATTGGGTTATTAACAGTCAAGATTTAGATCAGTCACTGATTCAGGTGTATTGGAGCATGAAAACACGTAAAACATGCATGCTATTGGTCCTCAAGGACAAGGATTGGACACCCATGGCCTAAATATTCTTTATTTTAAGCAATAGTTTTTATTAAAAAGTTTTTCATTGATGATAAATAAGTCAACAGACTTCTATGTAGTCCAGTGGTTCCAAACCCTTGTCTTCAAGGACCACTGTCCTGTATGGTTTATGTGTTTCCACACTCCAACACACCTGATTCAGTGATTTAATTACCATACTTCCTCAAGTTCTGCAGAAGCCTTTCACCTATTCATTGAAACCAGGTGTATCAAAGCAGGAAAACAACAAAAACTTGTAGGATGGTGTTCCCGATGTAATTTAAGAGAAAACTGGGATGCATGCTATATAATGGGATGATGATAATTCTCTATATACAAGGTTTAGCAAGAGGCCCTAACTTTGACAAGAAAGGGGGCAGCACAAAACACACACAATATGTGCAGACTCCCACAATATTTCCCATCAAGTTTCATCAAATTTGTTTTAAAAAGTGAAAGAAGAATTGAGCTGACAAGAAAACTGCTAATGAACGGACAGGCAGATGCCTTGCGCCACAACAAAATATGACCCTTTGGGCATGTAAAACTGGATATAATGCCATCAGTTTTACAGATCGAACTAAAATTTGGTGTGGCTGTACCTGAGCGAGATCTCCAACACATACTCTGAGTGAGCACCAACAAATTATGAGATCTTTGCGTCAAACTTTGACATGCAAGTTGGTGAGTGATGTGCATTTCTTCAAGCAAAGCTTCATTAAAGTCTAAGCTGCTTCCTGCCTGCATGCTTTTGAATCCATCAAGTCAGTTGATAACAAAGCTATAGATTTAAAAACCTTATTGGCTCTGAAAGACTGTAACTGCAAAATAAATCATGCCACTTTTGACCTTTTGCTGTTAATATTTGAATTACAACGTCAACGCATTGTTCGTTGTTAGTCAGTATTTTCACCTTGTCTGCATTGCAACATTTATATTAAAGGGCTGCTGTCTGTCTGTTCTATGTGTGGGAGGTAATTATGCTGGTAAATTCCCCTGAGCCGATCACTATTACCGGTATGTGGATGCTTTAAAACAAAGCTGCAGTTCTAACCCTATATTTGAATGACTTGTTTTAGCAGAGCTTGATTTTGATTCCAGAAACAGACGTTAGACACACAATAACTCATATGTAAGCAGATAAATAAGCAATACAGCACTGAAACCAACATCTTGATCCGAAACCATTAAATGTGTGCTACTATTGGCAACAGGATGACTTATGGCTACACCATGAGATGCACAATTAAATGAAGCCACTATGTGCAGTAACACACAGGAATCTTCTTATCCGTGACAGAAAAGTCCCAGAATGGGTCTTTGATGAAAAAGTGATGGAGTTAGACATGCTGTAATGAAGTTTCATCTGGCTATAAGAGCAGCAAGAAAACATCTCTCAGGTACAGTATGATCTTATCATGTGGCCTAATGGAGTCACTTACAGGGTTTTAGCAATAAGCAACAGCCCGCATTGTCTCAGCTAGGATCGATTTTTTGATCAGAATACAAAACATAATCACATTGTAATGCTGCGACTCCGTTCCTGATGTTTTAAAACTAAATAGCAGCTGTAATGATGCATCACAGTAAAGAGAACAACTGATTGTTGTTCGTTTGACCGTCTCGGGTCATTTGGTGGATACAACCCATTAGAAAATTGAAGACACCGCGTCTCCATATAGCTGCTTTATGAGAGCTGGGATTCAGGGTGTAGGTGGTCCCAGTGGAAATCTGTTTGTGCTCAGTGTGAAACAGTCTGTTATAACTCACAGAACGAGGCGTTGTAGTGCCAAAGAAAACAAATATTCACTTTTCCCCCCCTCCTGTCACTGATACTATTCTGTACATATTCCTTCTCATAATCTCGAAGAATGGGGCCTGCCTGAACAACAAAACCACAGATGGTCTTGGGTTCAGTTTGGACATCTGTTCTCAAAAGCAAACACAAAAGTTAACAAAGGAGAGAGACAATTCGATTTGTCTCTACCAAAATGTCTCTATTGGGGGTGGGGGCAATGGCCATCCTTGGTGTGTTTCAGCTGTACTCGGAAGTTGGAATTTCTGACTTCTGAGTCAGATATGTCAACTAGAACTCCCCCTTAATGCCTACTTAGAGCAACTCCATCAGCTCTGATGCAAGATGGCTGCTACTTGCAAAGTGACAAATTAAATAACATGCAACTCTTCATTATCAGTCCACTATGTGACTTCTGATTGTAGAAAGAATGAGAAACTGCACATATTCTAGTCATTTTGTGCATTAAGAAACACACTATAAACTACAATACCTGTTTGTTTGCCACTCTTTTATGCGCTGAATGAGCAGCAACAACAAAGGCTTTCTTGTGAGAGTCCATTTTTTTCTGACTTCCGACTTCAAGTGTAAAACTGGAACGCAATCAACTAGGAAATCAGGTGACTACTGCTTCCAAGTTCAGAGTTATGATGTACATGGAACAAAACAAGTTGTATCCTCCTGAGTACTGAGCTTTTACTTGGAGGGCATTTTTGATTTTCCTGTAAGGATGGTGTCCCATCTTTGTAATTATCCTTATCTGTGTCACCTGCGTGTTTCTGTCCAGGTGTTTGTGGTTTTGTGTCATTTGTCTGTGTATATAAGTCTGCATCTGTGTGTTGTTCGTTGTCTGGGCATGGTTAAGCCTTCTGAGTCCCTTGTGTTTTCTTTATGTACTTCTACAAATAGTAAGTTTTGCTGCCACGTTAGCTTGTTAATTTTTCATTAATAAGGTGTTTTTCATTTTACTCTCTGGGTCCCCAAGTCCTGCCTGCACCATTGGGTTCAAACATTGCCTCCAGATCATTTCATTCCCCTGGATATCTGAGATTAGAAGAATATTGAAAGTAAATAAAATAATGTTTTTGTGCATTTAGAGATAGACAGATTAATAAAAGGTAAAATAAAAAAAACTATGAAAATAATTAATTGGGAAAGCTAGTCAGTCTTTTGACTAAAGACCACCAGTATGAAATGAAAAAAAAAGGTAGACCAACATCAGATGGTCTAGTCTTTATACTATAGTACTTTTCAAACAGTATATATTTGAAACATACACCAACATAATAAAAATCTCCATATTGTTACTTTTAGTGCCCTGTGATGGACTTGTAACCTGTCCAGGGTGTCCCCCGCCTCTCACATTTTGACTGTTGGATATGGGCACCAGTGACGCCCATGACCCAAAAAGGAAGAAGCGAGTAAAGATAATGGATGGATGGGTACTTTTAATTTTGCAGTGCCACTCCAGGATTATCAGTGGCCCCCACCTGTCCACCTCTTTGAAAACTTTCTGGAGGCGCCCCCATATGTGGAAGATCCATCAAAAATGTTGTGACACTCCAGAGTTAAGTGAGAGTTTGAATAGATTCTAACATGCATCTGTCATCTCATCTCAGTGTCGTTTTATTTAAGCATTAGTTACAGATTTGATCAGTTTCAGATCAACACAGTTTGAGTGAATAGAAGAAAGTGCTGACAACTTTTAGTTTCACCAAACAGGAACATTTTCAGGGTTTAATCCTGGCTTAAGTGTGTGTGTAGCAAATCTCACTCAGACTACAGATCTCATTTTCAAGGGAAGCCTGAGTCTGAAGGCAGACTAAATATGAGTGATTTTGGACTGTGGGAGGAAACCGGAGAACCCGGAGAAAACCCACACAAATTCGAGGAGACTCCACACAAAAAGAGCCCAAGTAAGACCTGAACCCAGGACCTCCTTGCTCTGAGGAAACACTGCTAAACACTGAGCTGCTCTAAGTTTGTGTTAAGTAAAGGTTAAATAAAATAAATAAAAAGCACTTCTAAAGCTCCTGGTTTAACAGCACACAAATAAACTGTTGTACTTTGTTGTTCCTGATATGAGTGTGTGAGAAGCTCCAGTAAACACAGCTGCTGCCGCCTTTATTCTCTTCACACCTGTTCACTCTGCTCACCTGGGCTGGAAATACTCAAACACCTGCCAGTTGTTCCAAAACCGTGAAAACATACATCACTTTGTAGAAGAAAACAAAAAAAAAAACTCCTAAAGATACTGATTCTCACAATCTTTGCTCTCAGCAGGGATTGTGCTGATATGACCCCAGCCTGAAGCCTCCACGAGAGAAAGGATGGAAACCCTGAATGAATCTCAAAGCACCAACGCCACCAGCGACACCAACACCAGCCTCTTCTCTGGCAGCCCGTACTCGACTGTGGAGATAGTGCTCATCATCCTGGTGGCTGCATCCCTGAGTCTGATCACTGTCATCGGAAACATCCTGGTCATGCTCTCTATAAAGGTTTGTGTTTTCTGCATTTATCATTCTTGATTGATGAGTGTAATTCATGCATCCACCCCTGCACACCTTGAGAAAAATAACCAGACTTAGAGATAAGAATACAACATGTGCACCTCTTTGCAGAGAGGTAATCTAATAGAAATGAGAGACCATGCATCACGCTGTTTAAAAAATGATTAGGATCTGACAGCCTGATCCTTGTTGTTCCTCTAAAGGTAAACAGGAACCTGCAGACCATCAACAACTACTTCCTGTTCAGCCTGGCCTGTGCAGACCTCATTATTGGTATCTGCTCCATGAACCTCTATACTGTCTACATTGTAATTGGCTACTGGCCTTTGGGACCAGTGGTGTGTGACCTTTGGTTGGCTGTTGATTACGTTGTCAGCAATGCTTCAGTCATGAACCTGCTCATCATCAGCTTCGACCGTTACTTCTGTGTGACCAAGCCCCTTAGCTACCCTGCACGCCGCAGCACCAAGATGGCCGGCTTGATGATCGCAGCAGCCTGGGTCTTATCCTTCATCCTCTGGGCTCCCGCTATCTTGTTCTGGCAGTTCATTGTGGGCAGGAGAACTGTGGCACCCAATGAGTGCTACATTCAGTTCTTCTCGAACCCTGCAGTGACCTTTGGGACAGCCATAGCTGCCTTTTACCTTCCAGTGGTCATCATGATCTACCTCTACTGGCGCATCTCGAAGGCTAGCCGCAGCCGCATGAGGAAGGACAGTAGAAAGACCTCAGGGACCAGTCTGGCAGAAGCCCCATCTAACAGCCAGGAGGAAGGGTGTGAGAACAACGATGCTGCAACAAGACCAGCTCAGGAGGCGGAGGCTGGAGATGAGAAGGAAAAAGAAATGCTGCAGCAACAAAATGGAAGTGGCCCCTATGTGGAGGAACAGGGGGACCCGACAGACTCTGCACCGGAAGTTGTCCACGCTTCAACATCTAAAGATGTTGCATCATCACCTAAGAGCTCATCTGGAGGGAAAAATCAAACGCAATCCCCTTCCTCGCAGAACTCGGCGATTGACAGACAAAGTATGGTCACATGGACGTTGCTGCTGGTAAGTTGGAGACTTGCTCAGTGAAGTTGTGTTTTATTTATTTATTTTTTAAATCACATACAAAATGAATCTCACAACTCAACGCTGTAACAGTACTGGCTTAATTGTTAATAAGATACACAGGAACGTCTTGTGTTGACCTAGGCCAGCACAAAGATTGTTTTAACTCGGTTATTTTTAGATGTTGAGCTAAAATTTGATGTGACATCAGCTGAGAGTTACTCACAACACATACTCCAAACACTTATAGATTGTACAATATCACAAAAGATTGCACATGAAGTTATTTTTCATCGATCAAAGTCTTTTGGACATGCTTGATTTGTGACTTTTTACTACGCTTGACATCTACCTTCTAACCAAAAGTCAAACGCACTTTGTAAAAAATGTACACCAAGCAAACAAAATAAACTTGATTGCATAGTATCCTTAAACTGTGCAAGTACACACTATGTTAGACGTGTTTGTAATATTTGTGCTAAATAGAACCAAATTATGAGAACATGTCAGTCCAGCTGGGCAACAAAAAGTCCATACGAATGTATTTAAATTGATTCTGCAGTATTGTATAAATTGCTTTACATTTATGAGTATTCCTTGGTAATTTGATTTAAATGAACAGCAAAGAGCTCTAATTGACATAAACCCAAGTTTAAATGCAACATGAGAATGATTTAAAACTTGTTTGTGAAATTATGAAAGATTGTTTTAACATACGCATCATGTTTTTCTAACGAACAACTCAAAATGTGCATCACAAAACAGAGATTATGAAATAAGAATATGGATTATAATGACGTTATAACAAGCTGAATGTAAAAAAAAATTAACTTAATACTTCTCAGTTGCCCCAAAACAAAAATGACTAGAACAGCTCATGATGAATTCATAATTTAATTCATCCCTTCACAGCATTTCTGTAAGAGAATGTTGGACACTTAAAAAGAAACACATTATAATTTGTTTGTTTTGTTGTTTTCCTTACCAAAAAAAAAAAAGTCAATGCAGCTTATAAAACTATGCTGGATGCCTTTTTCCTCTTCTGCTTTCAATATTCAGGTAACAAAGCGTGCAGTGACTGAAAGAGTTGTAGCAAAGTGGAGAGGAAGAGGAAACTCCTCCAGAGAGAGAAAAGTGACACGCACCATCATGGCCATCCTGATCGCTTTTGTTGCCACGTGGACGCCGTACAACGTGATGGTGCTCATCACCACATTCTGCTCCATCTGCATCCCCAACTCGCTCTGGACCATCGGCTACTGGCTCTGCTACATCAACAGCACCGTCAACCCGGCCTGCTACGCCCTCTGCAACGTCACCTTCAAGAACACCTTCAAGCACCTGCTTCTGTGCCAGTACAAGAACATTCGTGGGCGATGAAAACGTGTGTTCATGTTCATGACGTAACTAAAACTTTGAGAAAAGACAGAAGACGCTGCAAGTGTGAAAAACTGGATTTGGCTGAATCCCATTTATGAGTGTAAGTGTCTTTAAGTTTAAGTTAAAGGAACTGTGAGTTTAAAATTTCACTACAAAATGAGATATCCCTTCAGGAGCTGATAAGCTGTTGCCACTTTTTTTATGTATGGAGACACTACGTGTTTTTACGGGTTTTAATATATGATGTAACTCTGGTGATGTGACCTGCAAAGGACTATAACTTTTCTTATGCTTGTTAAAGATCTGCTGTGACATCAAACACACTAAAATCATCAACAACATCAAACCAGACATTATCTTTCATCAGAGAAGTTACAGTTGTGAGGTTCTTTGCTCATTTTAAAGGGATGGATTACATCTACCCAGTGGTGTAGTCTACGCGACACTCGGGTATATGGAATATACCCACTAGGAAAGCTTAAGAATTTCAATATACCCACTTAAAAGTGCCCCATGATAAATTACACAACATAAGGCACATGTCATTAAACAGCAGTTAAATTGCTTCTGTAACAATCTATCTGTATGCAGCGCTTTGCTTTGTTACTGTTTTATAAATACGTTTTAATACAAAGCCAACTGTTGTACAAAGTTTGTTGTTCATTTTTTCAAATATAAGCATCAGAGAAATTTGGAAATGTTCATTATGCTTAAAAATCAAAATAAATTGATGATTACATTGTACTAACCAGTGTACTTTGGTTTCTAAGCACAGTATACCCAGTCCAAAAATGTAGACTACACCACTGCATTTACCCTCGCCACACAGCAGGAACGGCATCAAAACTGACAAAATGAAATAAATCAATACATAATACATAACAATTAAATGGATCATTTACTTATTAAAAATGTAATTAAATAATTAAATATACAATTAAATTATTAAATACACCATTAAATAATGAAATGTACCTTTTAAATTATTTAGTTCATGATTTATTAATTTATTTAATTTTGTCACATGCCATCCTCCAGTGTTGCCATGAAATCATGTTAACTGTCAGTCTCACTCGTCAAACTCAGTGGGCGGGACTAGGACGTAGAGCTGTCATTTGTAACCCGAACCCCAGCCCGGCCCTAATCCTGGTCGGGCCAGGCCGGGCCATAATAATGTGCTTAATGTAAGGGCTGGGCCGGTGTCGGCCTTTTGATTGTGTCAGCGGACGCGCGTGGCTGATGATCCAATTATATGGCAACATGGTTTGCCATACTTTCACTAGCCGCACGCAGCCATTTGACCACACGCTGACCGGCCTTGAAAGAGGTAAAAAAAAAAGAGTTCAGTTAAAGTAAAAAAAGACATTCAAACAAAATACATCTTTGTTCTTTCCTTTAGAAGGTGGAGGTGTAATTTAAAAAAAAATTCAGCTACACTCAGCGGACGTGCGCAGCCAACGACCCAAACAGGTGAGGTCTCAAAGTATCCAACATGTCAGAGCGGGGTCCATGTCTGAATAATGCAGAATGCAGGCAGAAGCAGGGATTTAATGCACTTTGACGGCCATGAAAGGACAAACACCCCCTCAGCTCCGATCTTCTGCCCCCTCAGCCGCACGCGTCTGCCGACTGTTAATAACTATATAACAGTCAAAGCTGACCCTGATGCCTGACTTGCTGTTCCTCACAGCAAGCGAAGACAAATCGACCACAGACTGTTCCACAGACCAGAAAATATATTTTGAAAACTTTAGGAATCGGTAATTGTGTTTAGTCACATTCCATCCTCCATACACACAAGTCTTCATCTTAAATAGTGGTGCCAATGGGCAAAATGGGACTCATGCTAAGTGTGGTGTACGGAGCCTGCTAGGTGCCAGGAGAGGAAATAAAAACAAAAATCAGAGGTTTTAAGAATACATTCTTTGAGTTAAGGAAACCTTACCCAAAATGTAGACAGTACAATAAAATACCCTGCAGCTTCATTTGAATCAAAACAAGTCCTACTTAGAGCTGGTGAAACCACCAGAGAAGTGAGGATAAATATTCTCAAAGATTTGGACAAACCTGCCCGTTTCTAATTCAACTGTTAGAATAAAATCAAAAGGAGACAAATTTCTGGTGTGATTTAAGGGACAGCACAAACTATTTGGTTGAATTTGTTGAATATTATGGCCAAATGTTGCCGTTTGTCACGTTCACTTCTGGTATTCTCTTTACTTTTGATTTACCATCCACATCACAAACAACACTAAACACAACACCTGCTGCACACAGACACAAATATCACTCAAGATTATGAACTTACTAAACTGAGAGAGCAGATTCTCTCAACGCAAGTTTTATTTCACCTATGGGCACGTGCAGGGCTCCATACATAGGTGCTCTTCCTCAACATTATTATTTTTAATTGTGTTATTTTTAACAGTGCATGAACATTGTTCATATATTTTATGTATACGGTTTATTTTTATCCACAATAATAGCTTCTAAAGATTTCAGTAAAGAACCAGCACTGTATTGTGTTCATGAAGACTTTATGTTGTTTTTGTTCTGAGCTTTATTGTGAAAAAGGACATTTAGCAGACTGAGTGTTTTTTTATTTTATTGTATTTTTAATTGAGGAAGGCTTACTTAAAGACATATTTCTCTATTGGTTCTTGCTACATCACTTTGTGCAGTCTAAATGTTGTGTAATGTGATGTACAAGCATACCACTGCATAAAAACACTATATATGAACATTCATACTGTATTATGTATACCAACAGTGTGCTGTAAAACAGGGAAAATTAGCCAAATGTGTGTCTTTAAAATGAAACAAGAGGAAAAAACAAAATCTGAAAATGTAAACTGATGTATCATGTGGCTGTTTGAGTGCAACTTCCCTCCAGATTTACTCACATTAGGCTCACATGTGGTGTTAATGACATTTGTAATCTGTAATGTGTAATAGGTCTGACTGTGCTATTTGTTCATACTGACTTCACTTTGTACCTGTTTTATGATAAAATAAAGCTAATGTTTTGTCATGTTATTTGGCGTAAGTTTTTTTTTTTTACTTTTTCATGTTTAAATAAAAATCCTGCTAAAGATGTGGTGATGACTACAAGACTTCTACAAATTTCAGGCCTGGATTAAGATTTCTGACTGTGCAGAAAGAAACAGACCAGGGTGTAATAAAGGCCATAAACAGTTTTTTTTTTTTTTAAGTCTGGTGAGGAAAGGACTTCTGTAAAACTGCTTCGCCCTCTTGTGGATCACTCCTGCACCTGGAGGCAGAAAGGTGAACTTGCTACAGTGCTTATCAAACATTTAGTCTGTTTGTGTGCAAGAATGGAAGATATTTATTCACAAATATGTGTGTTAAATTTATTCAAGCCTAACTTGACCTGAAGGGTATGCTATTTTCATTTTATGACCATTGACAATATTTTGTATTATCTTTGCATATGTGTTTTAATGTGCAGTTTTCAGACATTTTCCAGTTTTTATACATTTTAAAATGTTTTGAACTTAACTCCTAACTTACTTTATCATTTCTCAACAGTTTTTATACAGTCTGACGTGACGAAACATGAATATGATTTTGAATTATCCCATTCATCCAGATATTTACACTCTTCCCTTGATCCAGTTAAAGCTCCTTGTAAAAACTGAACAAGCTATGCTTTTATTTTGGAAGGTTTTCCCATTCCTTATTCTGAAACAGTTTACAATTAAAGGTTTAGCGTTCCCAGATGAAGTGCATATTGCCCGCCACCTTCTATGTTAGAGTTTTAAACTAAAACCAACTTGTGCTGAGAAGGAACGGAGCTGCAAACCACGTTACACGAGCTTTCATGAGATACTGTGATATCTCTCAAGATGTGTTAGTGCTCAGCGAATATGATGAGGATGACTCTCAGCTGCAGCCACACCTAATATTTGTGATGATTTCGACTATACCCAGATATAAGGACCAATAAGAACAGAGACCAAAACTCACAGTTTGCAGTGTTTTTACAAGGTGAGATATAAGCAATCATGTTCCTGTTTAATATACTGTATTATTTTACATTATTAGTGTTTAGCATATATTTTAGATCCTTATATACCATTTCTTTATATACTTTATATTTTTGCCAGTTTTGAGTGCAACTGGGACCTTGAGTACACAATTTTGTTCCACCTCATTTACCACATGTGATGCAAATGACCTTGATAAGCCAGGGAAGGGGCTGGAACCCTGAGGAGCAGAGAGAAGATTAGAGACTAGGATGTCGAGGGTGATGATGATGTTGTAGTTCTCTCTTATGTTGGTGGTTGAGGTCAGGCGTGGGGAGAGTAGACCCAAATGGTTCCAGGTGGAAGAGGTGCAGGTGAACGGCAAGTAGTAGGAAGGTGTGGAGGCAGCTGATGAGGCACAGAGGAGATTTCTGGAACACAGGACACAAAAAAAAAGTGCGCAAGTTATTAATATTTAGCTTGGAACACAAATAGAAGGCTAGAACAAGACTACCATTGGCAGGTAATGCTCCAGCGCTGGATGAGTGTCTTCTGAGGCCTCTTTACTCCTCATGCTCATCAAGTCGTAGGATCACACAGAGTCCGACTGTGGGAGCAGGAGCTGGTAGAGAGCAGAACTCCCTCAATATTAGATTAATATCTGTAAAATTAGCTGAGTTATAGCCCTTTATTCTGTTGGCTAGTGTTAATTAGATGTGGTGGCCATCTCAAATAAGAGTCCAAAAATTAATCGGCTGTATATGATGATCTTCTGAAAGTTTGATTAAAATCCATCCAGGGACTCATCAGATATTTTGCTAACATTATGAACTTTAGCTGTTCGTTTACCAAGTTATTCAAGACTAGCAAGTGAAGATCAATGGACTTCATTATTTGAGGCCTAAATGTGAGAATAATTAACAGTGTCTGCTTCTGAAAGTGCAAACAAATTTTCTGTTAAAAAAAATAAATGCATCTGTAAAATGCAAAGACTCTTTTATCACCATATCAGATCAAGAATAAAAGCATAGAAAGTAACAACCTGACAACAA